CGCTACTACTAGGACTATGGCGGCAACTAGGATGCGCGTGTGTGATCGCGTCGACTTCCAAGTGCGTCGCCGAGATCAAGTGGGAGTGTGAGCTATAAAACTTACCTGCGTGTCGAGCGCCAGTGCATTGCAGTCTGCCAGTATCCGGTGCCCCCATCTACGAGCCACCGTCCACTGCCAGTGTCTGCAAAGACACATCCCAAGGACACTCATGCGCCTGACAGTGCAGCTTGCGGCTGCACTACAACCGGCTCCACTGAGTACACATGCGTGCAATGGCGAAGGACTATACCAAGGACTGTATGCACAAGGACATCGTTGGCTGTGCGCTGCCAAGATGGTGTACTCAAACGAGAGTGCATTTATCTAGAGTTTAGTATTGACTTATTTGCTATTTGTATACTAATCTACTTTTGCGGTACAGCGGTGTTCTGGTGGAGGCTGCTCCACACTTTGCGTTTTGACGCCTGCCGCTCACCAGAGAGCAGCAGAGAAGAGCAGCCTCGCCAGACACCGCAGTCCTGTCGCGGCCTTTTGCCCGGCACTTACGTGTTTACGTTACTTCCTGATTAGTTTCCTAAAGTTGACATTTAAGTGTATTTACATTTAAATGGCTCCTACTCTTAGAAGCGATCGACACATGGAGAACAATCCCCCCGTGACGAACCCTACGTCACCACTGGTCGTGGAATAGGAGATCTGGCGAAGAGCACAGCGGCGTCCTCGACGAGGACGAGGTTCAGAGCGGTCGCCGCGAGGACTAAGCTCTCCTCGAGCATCTTGACTGCCTTGTGTGCTTTGCAAATGTAGTATACACCAAGGACGGATAAGAGCTCGCGTTCGCTCTGCAAAATGCTTCGCTGGCAAACCAACGTGTGCGGCAGTGTGATTAGGGTTGTGTGATTGGCACTAGTCTACAACTCACCCAAGTTTTATTAACTTCCAGCAGCACGTCTTAACAGCGGTTTTTACTTTTTGAAGTTCTAAAATAGCGATTCGAGTCTTAAGATAAAACTCCAGTTTTAATAGATTATGTGGCCCACTCACTTTAACATACGCGGGAAGATTCCAACAAAACCATGGGGAAGGGGCCTGAATGGGGCGACGACGACACTATCCAGTTGTGCAAGGCATGGATAGACACCTCCCAAGACCCTATACGCGGTGCCGGTCAGAAGAAGGCTACGTTCTACATGAGGATGTATCAACTTTGGCTTCAAATTAAAAGCAAAGAATCGGATGATCGATCTGAACTCGCTGTTGCTGGCAGGTGGAAGAAACTGCAACCCGCAGTGACAAAGTTTGAAGGCATTTATTCAAAGCTGAAGAGTAGAGAACGCTCTGGATGGAATGAGGAAAAGTACTTAACATCGGCAGTGGAGATTTACGCTGAGCGTCACAAGCAACAATTTGAGTTTTTAGCGGCATGGAAGGAGCTCCGTGGCAAGCCAAAGTGGACAGCTCAGCTCACAACGACCGCGGGTTCAAAACGACGTGGCACCGATGCATCCGTTGTGTGTCGGCCACAGGGCCAGAAGGCTGCAAAGCGATCAAAAGGTGTGCTAGCAGACGACATTCAGCAACGGTTCGTTGCTGCTTCAGAGAAGAAGGCGTTGCTGATGGAGCAACAGCTACACTTCAATATCTTCATGCAGGACCCCAACAGTGACGAATCAAAAGAGTACTTTTCGATGCAGCGGAAGGCAATACTTACTACAATGCGAGAGGCTGCACGTACTGTTGTAGCGCAAGATGAAGAGAAGACAGCTGAAAGTCAAGATACGTACGTATTTACCACCGAAAACGACAGCAGCACAGACAACAATTGCTTCGACATTCAAGCTTCGAGTTTAGTTTAGCACAGGGACATTAAGACCGCGTACTGCCCATTCATCACCACTCTACATCTAACTGGCGCCATAGGCTTGCCAAATGTGCTCAATTAGATCGTGTTTTAATTCGTAGTGTAAATCTTCATCCTCCACGGTTTTTAACGCGCGAGCAATCATCGATACTGGACAAATGTTGCCAGCAACTGGGGGAGCCGGACTCACCCATTTATCCTCGTATAAGTAGTCATTATTCAAGGTACAATCTCCGCATTCGTCCTCGATGATCATATTGTGCAAGATGATACATGTGATCATTACGTCACCCATTGCCTCGGCACTCCAAAGTTTGCAAGGAATTGCTACAACCCGAAATCGGTGTTGTAGTACACCGAAAGCACGTTCGACATCTTTTCTGACGCTCTCCTGCATAGCAGCGTATAACTTCCGCTTTGGGCAGATCGGATTACTGATGCTTTGCTGAAAGCTAGCCCAGGGAGGATAGATACCATCGGTAAGATAGTACGGGTTTTCATAGATAGCTCCATTAACTTCAAAATAAACTTGAGCTGCCTCGCCATTGATACTGCTGTCAAAAAGTGGAGAACGTTCTAAAACATTCAAATCGTTGTTAGAACCTGGCACACCAAAGAATGCATGCCATATCCAAAGGGATTGAGATGCAACAGCCTCCAATATTACTGTCGACTCCTTTTCTTTACCTCTGTAAACGCCTGCCCAAGCTGTTGGGCAGTTCTTCCAAGACCAATGCATGCAATCCAAACTTCCAATCATTCCAGGAAACCCACGAGCAGCATTCTCGTCTAAAAGCACCTCAATGTCATATCGTGTAGGTTTTCGAAGATATTCATCACCAAACAGACGAATAATACTGCCACAAAATGTCTTCAAAGTCTCTAGTGCTGTTGATTCACCAATCCGTATGAGCTCATCCATTTGGTCGGCGCTTGCGCCGTACGCGAGCATCCGCAGCGCACACGTCACCTTTTGCTCTGGTAAGAAACCAGGAAGTCCTGTAGCGTCATGTCTCTGAACGAAGTAGTTACTGTACTCGTCACCTACGAGTGTGTTGACAATAGTCTCGAATAGACTTCGACGCATACGAAATCGGCGGCGAAAATCATCTGTGGACACGATAAGATGACACAAGTAGATGGCAGTTAGTACAGGAATGTGCTTGTCGTAGCAGTAGATACAAAACTTACGTTCATCGTACGTCGGGTTTGGTCCAAAGTAATCGGCCATTAGTCTGGCTCCCCATTCGGCGCGATCTCGAGCTTTTCCTGCGCGTTTTCCTGCGCTCGACCCTCCATGCTTAGGTCTACGCTTTCGGACTGAAGAAGGGAGAATGAAAAGACGGAAGAACTCGTCATCGGAGCTGCCGTCGTCCCTGAGGCAGACGCTTGCCGCCGATGCAGAGAAGATTTCCATTACTGGGGAAGAAGTATTTTTATAGACTGCGGGCTTTAATTGGACAAAATAAAATTGAATAAAACGCTGTTAAGACTTGTTGCTGTATGTCTTCATCGCCGGATTCGAGGTCTCAACGGCATTCGATAAGCCTTACGATAAGACTTACCGCTGGAGATGCTCTAAACCACTCCAATAATTGACTGCTCGACGACCTTGAATCCCATTCAATTATTTGTTTTGCGTTGACCTCTTTATAACATTGCAGGGGACAGTGAGCATTTTGAGCAGCTACTTCAGCGCTCTGCTACCGCTACTTCAGAGGCTGCTTAAATAAACCACTGTTTGAAACTGCTCCCTCAGATCTCGCCGTCGCCTCCCAAATTTGACGACATTCGCCATCCACCCGTCGACCTCCCAGCAGCCTCCTCATCATGAGCGCTTTCTTCCCCGTCATCTCGTCGCTAAACCCGGCCGTGCCGTCGGTTGCCTCCCCCAAGGCCCGCCCGGCCTCAGTCCTGGCTACCTCGGCCACCAAGTGGGACGCTCGCCTCTCGCACGACCCCATTCACAACAACGCCTACTATGGCAAGTGCATGATCGGAGGCATCCTCTCGTGCGGCCTTACGCACACGGGCATCACTCCGCTGGATGTGGTCAAGTGTAACATGCAGGTGAACCCGGCCAAGTACGGCGGCCTGGTGTCTGGCCTCAAGACCATTGCTTCGGAGGAGGGCGCCAGCGCTTTGTTTAAGGGATGGGCCCCCACGGCCATCGGCTACTCAGCCCAGGGCATGTGCAAGTTTGGCTTCTACGAGTACTTCAAGGATCTCTACAGCACCATGGCTGGAGAGGAAAATGCTTACAAGTACCGTGGCGCCATTTACCTGGCTGGCTCGGCGTCGGCTGAGTTCTTTGCCGACATGGCCCTGTGCCCCATGGAGATGGTAAAGGTGAAGGTGCAAACCTCGCCCGCTGGCACCTTCCCCGTCGAGCTGGGCGCCGCCGTGGCTGCTATGAAGGCTAACTCGGCTGAGACTCGTTTCCCTTTCGGTTCGCTGGTGCCTTTGTGGTCGCGCCAGATTCCGTACACGATGGCCAAGTTCTTCTTCTTCGAGAAGGTTGTGGAGGCCTTCTACACGCACGTGTTCACGGAGCCGAAGAGCTCGTACCCTAAGAGCACGCAGCTCGGTGTTACCTTCGCTTCGGGTTACCTTGCTGGTGTCATCTGCGCCATTGTGTCGCACCCTGCCGACTCGGTTGTGTCTCTCATGGGCAAGGCCGAGAACAAGGGCAAGGGCTTTGGCCAGATCGCGAGCGAGACCGGTCTGGTCAACCTGGCCACCAAGGGTCTCGGTACGCGTATCATTATGATCGGTACGCTGACGGGCGCTCAGTGGTGGATCTACGATACGTTTAAGACGGTCATGGGCATGGGCACGAGTGGTGGCGCTGCCCCCAAGAAGCAGTAATTGCGCTTCATATTGGCATGAAGACTACTGTGGCGTGGTTGTCATTTCTACCTTTTCTGCTGAGTTTAACTCAGACGGATGAGGATCGCTAATAGAAGCACCTGACGTTGCCGAGAGAAGCCCGAAGGTCATGACATGCAACTTGTTCCGTAGTGTCTTTAGAAAACGCTCGCGTAAGGAGGCTCGTAGGCACGAATATAGCTTTCTGCAATAAGAAAACTAACAAGACCTGCAACATCTTTATGCTTGCTAAAAATGGTCGACACTGTTGATGGCAATACTAGTACATTTCCGGACGAAGATCCAACTTGCTATCGGCGTCCACTTTAAGAAATTCCTGCCCACGTCAACAATATCCAAAATGGATAGGTAGTCCAGTTTGTGCTGAGACGAAAAAAAAACCACTCTACCATGACCGGGAGATTCTTTTTCTTTTACCGAGTTGCTTACACGTCCGAGCCCGCCGTTTGCCCCTACGAGAAGAAGAGCGTGTGCACGGCCATTACTACAAGAGCACTGGCTACATATTGGCTCTTGCGCTCCCCGATGCGTGAAGCTTTCCAGCAGAGGCCGCCAAGACCCTCATGCTTTCCTGGCAGTTGACCTCGATCGAAGAGCGTGGGAAACTTCATCTTAATGTAGGTGCAGGTGCAGATGAAGAGCAAGATAACGGTGAGCAGCCCCTGCAAACTGAATAGCGCCGACTATAACACAGAAGCGTGGCCGTTAGTCATTCTCGTCATCACAGCGGCAAGTGGTCGCGCCGCCTTACCATTTTCCCTCTCCTGATTGCAGAAATGCAGTGAAGAGAATTCAAGCATTTTAAGGAGCACAAATCTACAGTATTTTGATGCCCAAAGAAACCGCACGCAGTACTGAGAGGTTTTACTCCTTGTCTTCGGACCACCAAAACGGTGTGGCTCACACGGAGGGAATGACCTAGTAGCAAGTGCGAGCGCAATGAGGGCACTTTGGGATGGGCGACGTGCTAAAGAGGAAAATATCCGAGGTTTTTTGCTCAAGGTTTTATTCGACCAGGCTTGGCCGCACGATGTACGGCTGAGACTGAGGGGGACTCAAGCTCGACTCGCCGCAGCCTCACACGCACACAGTCACGGAAGCTCTCGATCAATTTGAGAGCTAGCTGAGCACGATGATGAACCGAGCCAAGCTTCTTCAACGCGCTGCCAAGGTCTGTTGCTGTGCCTACCGCTTGCAGCAGCACTGCTGTCGTTGTGCAGCCGCGCGTAGTAATGCTATTCTGCGCTCGGTGGAACCCATCGGGCTGGACCACCAAAACGACAGTCCAATTCTGACATCGTTATAATATTTTTGCTATCGTAGGTGGGCGCCGGAGCTCTGTTGGGCGGATCGGTGCTGACTGGCGTCACAGCTTTTAGCAGTGACCAGATCGAAGCGCTACACTACGGCTTTGACCACCAGGGCCCGCTGTCCTCGTTCGACTACGCCAGTGTGCGTCGTGGCTACCAGGTGTACCGCGAAGTGTGCGCGTCTTGCCACAGCTTAGATCGCATCTGCTTCCGCAACCTGGTGGGCGTGACCCACACGGAGGAGGAGCTTAAGGAAATTGCGGCCGACATTGACGTTGTCGACGGCCCCAATGACGAGGGTGAGATGTTCGAACGCCCCGGTAAGCTGTCAGACCCGCTTCCCAGACCGTACCCGAATGACGAGGCTGCCGCCGCCGCCAACAATGGTGCCATTCCTCCTGATCTTTCGCTAATGGCCAAGTCTCGCCACGCCGGCGCTGACTATCTGTTCGCGCTGCTGACGGGTTACGTGGATCCCCCTGAGGGCATGGAACTGCTGCCTGGTCTGTATTACAACCCATACTTCGGTGGAGGTGCTATTGCATGGAGCGTCAGCTGCAGGATGGCCAGATTGAGTACGAGGATTGGCACGCCGTGCACGACATCGCAAATGGCAAAGGACGTATCGGTCTTTCTTGCTTGGGCCGCCGAGCCGGAGCACGATGTGCGGAAGAAGCAGGGCATGCAGGTTACCGTCGCTCTGTTGGCGCTGTGCGCACTGACTGGCTACTACAAGCGCTTGAAGTGGGCGCCGCTCAAGACCCGTAAAATCACTTACACCAAGTAAGGCTGGAGGTTTTGAACGCGCATGGTGGTGCGATGCAGGGGAGTGAGTGGTAGAGCAGGCAGGTGTCAGGGATTTTTTCTTTGGTTCTCTGCTCGCTCCAGACGAATGGAGCGTTTTAGCGACCTCTCTTGCTCTCCTCCCTCGAGCTAGTGGGTAAGAGAGGAAGGAGACTGACAGCGTACACAATGCACGGATACCAAACCGTCGAGACGATAAATAAAGGAGAGTGGCGTTTGGCATTCTCACATAAAGAGATGATGAGAGAGCAGCACGACTTGGAAACTTGAAAAAAAAATACAAAGACACGTAAAGAAAGCAGCTGAGTTTTGTAGCAAGCACTAAGGAAGCTCAACGTGCTCAAAGTCTTTCGAGCTTCTTGGTAAAACTACCTCCGTTCGGAAAAAGATAACCATTTGTTTTTTTTTGCGCAGCGCTCCGCCTCGTTCATTTGAGCGTTTATTAATTTGTGAGAGGCTGGCTAGCTAGCTTTATGACCGAGAGCTGACAGTGAGAAACTAAGCAAGGCACAGGCGTTCATGCTCCGCCGAGCAACTACAGATACAAAAACGGATCTAAGACGGCAACTACATCGCCACATTCTGAAGGGGCGCTCATTGGGGCTTCTGGAACTCCAGCGGTAGGCGGTGGGGGGGCTGCTCGCTGCAAGAAGCAGCATGTACGCGTTAGCATTGGCGAGTGAGATAGCGTCACAAGGCAGTGACGTAGGGAGAGTGCCAGCTCGTACTTGCTTGTCCTTGTGCAAGTGTCCGAGACGGTAATGATTATCACCTTTGCAGTTCATAACCTGCTCCATGACGTGTTGCAGAGTCAAGAACGTTTTGGTAAGCGTGTCCGCTGTAGTTTCTCCAAAAGCTTTCTCCACTTCCCTGATGAGGCCTTGGGGTGTTCGTGGTATTGTCTGCGACTGCAGCGATTGAATGCTGGCAAAAAAGCCCAGGTCTAGGCAGTTGAAATCAGGACTTTGTGCAGGCTGGTTCCGCAGCGCGATGTTCCAGCCAATCCGAGGACCCTGCCGCGTTAACGTAGTCATCATCCTCTTGGACGTGGGGCCGAGCGTTATCTTGTTGGATGCGAATGGCAACACCCTTCTGCTCTTGCGGCCACTTTGCTTTGATAGCAGGAATTACGTCGTTCACCAGCATCTGACGTGAAATATCCCTTGTTATTGAGACAGGTCGCAGTTCTTCCACGCCAGCAGGGCGATTCACACTTGCCCTTTGAGTGATGTAGCGCTCTACAACAGGCCAGAGACTGCCATCCCAGTTTCCTCGGGGTCGCGCAACAGCACAGAAAAACATCACCTTCATGATATAGCGTTTGCTCTGCACGAACTGAACAGGAGGATCCTCGAGCGGTACTTCATCTTTCCCATTCAGTAAGTAAATACTCTGCCCAATCTTCTTAATGTAGAACCACTTCTCGTCAATATGCACGACGCCAAACATTGGATCAAACACGTAATCCCCCCTTCCGTTAGGTCGAACGTGGTCCACACAAAACCGGAGGCGCACCAACTTGTGCGTGGGTGTAAGTAGTGGACGGGTCTGTCTGAGCGCACACCGTATGTAGCCTTCCTTGATCAGCTGCTGAACCAGGTAGCAGCTCATGTTGGACGCGCGCTGAAGCAGACGCTGGGTTTCACGCTCATTGACAGGAACTGCAGCGATTCTCTCGCACAGCTCAGCTCGATTGACCTTCTTCCTACCACATGCGCTCTTCCTTGACTTGACCACGGCTGCTACTCGACCTCCCATCGAATTGATTCCACGCCTCCAAATTCGTTCGACAACTTGGCGGCCCACACGGAAGTACGCTGCAACCCGAACGATCTCTCCATGTTTGAGCACTCCTCCCACGCTGCGAAGCAGTAAGGACTCCCAGACGGCCTGGCGCTCACTGTCTGTGATCTCCCCCAGGTGCCAGCTTTTAAAATGAAAGCTGGGAGCGGGAGCCAGTCTGGTCGGGAAAGCGCGGGAGATTCGAAATCCAAAAAGTGATCGGCATAGAGGGGGTATTTTGTTGGGTAGGCTGTAATATAATTTGAAATGGTTATCTTTTTCAGAGCGGATTGTGGCAGCACCACCGCAATATTGGATCGTTTGCACTTATCGTATGTTTCGATTTAAGTACGATTCGAATGGCTGGCCATCGCTTCGGCTTTGTGTCTGTTCATCGCGCCAATCCATCGCTGAATAATAGCTGTTGCCCGCGAGACCAATATGGCCAAGGCGTCCAAAGTCGTCCGCGTGGGCCAAGATGCGCCGCACCAGGTAAGAAACTGTCTTGCTATCGCTGTGCCGTCATGCTTCGTCATCGCATCTGACCTTTTAAATTGCCAACCAAGCCTGATGTGGAGAGCGAGAGCAGCTACAGCTTCGTGGAGCAGTCCAAGCGCCAGGTGAAGGTCAAAATTCAGAGCCTGACGGACGACGAGATTGTGTTTGACCTCATTGGTGTGGACGCTGCCATCGCCAACGCATTGCGCCGCATTTTGCTGGCTGAGGTTCCCACTATGGCCATTGAGCACGTATACATCTGGAACAACTCGTCAATTATTCAGGATGAGGTGCTAGCCCATCGACTAGGCCTCATTCCGCTCAATGTGGACCCGCGTGAGTTTCAGGCCTTCCCGGACAACGAAGAGGCGGAGGCCACTGACGAGAACACAATCGTTTTCAAGCTCGACGTCACATGCAAGTTTGACCCTGAACACCCGAAAGACCCAACCAAGGCCATTCACTCTTCTGGTACGCTTGTTTTTGCTGTTGCGATCTACCGATTAACGCACTAACACTATTTTCTTTGCGTTCTTTTTTGCAGTGTACTCGCGTGACCTAGAATGGGTACCACAGGGAAACCAGGAGGAGCGATTCGGCTCCATTCGCCCCGTACACGAAGACATTCTGATGGCAAAGCTGCGGCCTGGTCAGAGCATCGCATTGGAAGCCCACTGCCGCAAGGGCGTGGGTAAGGACCACGCTAAGTTCTCTCCCGTCGCGACAGCATCATACCGTTTGATGCCCAAGGTGGAGCTTATGGAGAAGGTAGAGGGCACTGACGCAAAACGCCTCGTGGAGGAGTGCCATATCGGCCTGTTCGATATTGAAGATATTGGCGGTGTCCCTACTGCTGTGGTGAAGGACCAGCGCGCCTGCACTATGTGCCGGAACTGTATTCGTGAGCCTAGCTGGAACGAGAAGATTCGTCTGGGGCGTCAGAGCGACCACTTTATCTTTAGCGTCGAATCTGTAGGAATGATTAAGCCCGAGGAGTTGCTGCTGGAAGCCCTCAATGTGCTTGCTGAAAAATGCAACGTCGCGTTAGAGTCGTTCACACAGGTGGATGAGGACGAGGAAATGGGCGATGAAGAGGAGGAGGAAGAGGACCAGGAAGAGTAGACCGATCATAGAAGATTGCTTGGAGCCGATTGAATATATGCAAAAAAACCACAACCACTTGTTTCCTCCCATGGTTAAACTTACGAGCCGGAAGCCTATTGTCTTATTACAAGTATGCGTTGTCCTAAGCATCTATTTAGTGTCATCGTCTGTGTTGTAGGTGCTTCTTGCTTTTGTCTGCGCTCAGTGAGGAGGCGACAAGGCGTCCCAGCCCGAAACTCTCATCGAGAGCTACCTAGTTGTCCTGGTTGAGGAAAACTGATGCAGCGCGGATGCCGACGAAGACGAGAGCGATCTTGGACAGGTCCCAGGCAATGGCCTTCATCTGCTTAGTGCTGTCCACCTGCGGTTTCTTCTTCTTGAGCATGAACATCTTGGCAGCTCTGGGAGTTCTGGACGGTGGTTTGATGATAGGCAGCGAGTGCTGAGAACTGCCACATCTATTTTACACAAAATACACTTTGTCACAATAATAACTACTATTGTGACGAGCAATTATTATTTCTGTAAAGCTCGAGCTTAGGGAGCTCGAGGTACCCAAATTTAGAAATAGTGCTTTTTGATGTACTCAAAAAATGATCCAAAGGTCTCGATGTACTACAGCCTGTAGACCCTCATAGAATTGCAATGTCGTGAGCTGGACCAAGAGAATACGGTATGCCTCGCTCAGGTAGTTACAGCGGAGATGTATTGTTATATATCACGAAGCCATATTACGCCTCAGCTTTGGTTAGGCGGTGGCTTAATAAGAGTGATACATCGATCACCCTGAATGAGGCGACAATTGCCCATACTAGAGCAAGTGTAGGCGTTTTTGAATGCGAGCTAGACCAACAAATCGTACGCTGACACAATCGTGTAGTGTTGAGTTTCGCTGACTTACAAGTAGCCATGGGCCTTTAATAGTGCGCTTCTTATATTTTTGGCGGAGCGCCTTAGGATATCCTGCACCGTAGCAAGCATTTATAAAGCGCTTCGCTCTTGTATACCTATAGCTCTGTAGGAAATCTGGAGCTTTCCTTGATTTTCTTTTGTAAATGGTGTTTGTCTAAGGGTTAATGGTGTTTGTCAGGGTTATTCCTTTACTGGTAGAAACTTAAGTAGTATTATCCCGTTCATCCACTAACCTATATAGAAGAATGGTCTGACATATAAAACCCAAGCTTCATCTACCTATAAATATACACAGTTTACATTCTACCTTAAATAGGTCCCTTTTCGATAAAAGGGGACAGTAAACTGCCGTTCACTGAGAGTTTGTAAGCTCTCGGAAGCCAACTTACTCTAGCGCAAGGTGCTGTGTGACCCCGTCACATCGACCCTTCGTATTTTTTATCTCTGCTAGCTAATCGCTTTTTAATACATCGACCTCGCCCTAACAGTTTTTCCTTGCATTTGAACCCCCCGTTTTTTTGAGACATTGACATCTTTTAGAAGCCCTCTTCTATTAGAGCCCCCGTACTGAAAAAGGTTATATGAGACATCTCGTCCTAGAATCCTGGCCTGATGAACATCAATCAGGTGAACTACTTTGCATTCTGGCCCCATTCTCACATTGACCATGTGTCGCTGCTTTACCGTCGGTACGAAGAAGGTGTCCACGGAGTGCCACCGTCAATCCGTTGCAGCTTTCTCTGTTGCTCTGGGCGCTGACGCGGAGCTTGCGCGTGCTCGTCATGAGCTCTACGGCCCTGGGTTTCGCCGCCTCCTTGCTGGTGAAAAGCCCCAAGAGATAGTGGACAAGGTGTCCCCGTTTATCCTTGCTGATGAAGACAGCAACATGGATATCGACGACATCGAAATCGACTTCGAGCTATTGCGGTATAACTTGTCTCAGTACATGTTTGCGGTGCCTCGAAACTGCAAGGAGAAGACGTCCATGCGCTCATCGTTTCGATGTGATTGCTAACCCCTGTATGGTGGTGGTAAATTACCACTTTTTACTACCTACTACACGAATTATGAATACCTGGTAATAATGTGGAGTGAGTTGAAATGAACAATTCGAAGCTACAAGGAGAATTCCGAAGGCGTAAGCTATCGGCTCACGATATTTATGCCTTGTTGACGACAATAGAGATTCCCCATCAACTTGCGTCATTTGGTGTGCGAGTATGTCTTGTCCGGGTATCGTAGCATACACCGTCTCAAATTATCAATTTCCACAAATGTGCTCTGACCGGTATCACAACCGCCGAAAAAGCTCAAACTCATCCCAATGGTAGGGAGGATCAATTTTTGGAATACGGTCACAAAGAAATCCTTTGTTCCTAATGTATTCATTAAAGTAATACCTGTACGATACGATGCCGAGCTCTACATGTACAGTACAGACACCCACGAAAACACAACTATGGTTAAATTTGATGCTGGTTTTAATTTTTTTCAAGTGTAAGTGTTTTTGTAGAAATTCTTAGTAAGAAGTGTAGAATAGAAAACGATAATCGAAGATGCAGGCTGCTTGCAGCTGAGTAAAAGTATGTCTACATGTACTGTAGATCAATTGACAAAGCGAATTGAGATTCTACACATTTGTAGATGAAGAAAATAAACGCATGGTTCAATACAATAGGACGAAATTTGCCTACTTAAAAAGCCAACTGAATTGGAACGTGTAGTCCGTGCCTGTGAAGCAGGGACGATGATGAATCAAAGCTTGCTCTTTTTCTCCTCTTAATTATTCTCCACGTACCAACATGCTGGATTGATGATTGCAGCACGTAAATGATCCAAAGCACAAATTGACCTTGCACAACTCTCCATTCGCTGTCCAAAACAAAGCGTAAAGTTGTCCCCGGATCAAGCCGAAAGCGTTGCTTAAGTGCAACCAAGAGCAAAATAAAAGAAAGTAGCTGGAGTGATCCATAAATCAGTATGCTGCAGATAGTGTTGGCAAGATCGGTCTCGGACATTTCGTGGAGGTACGGAAAATACTTTCGGTTTGGAAGGTGATACACTGTGGTAATATAAATGACTGAAAAAAATGTGTGTGAGCAGAGAGTAAAACAATCACAATACCTACTTACCATAAACCATTGGGACTATCACCTCCGTGTACTCGACTAACAGCAAAAATTCAACTTGGCGTAAGATACGGCAAGTTTCGTGGATAAATTGCTGTCGTTCTTTGGCAGTTAGTAATTCGACCATGTGAAACGAATTGCTTGTCATTCCCTTAACACTAGGTCCACGGTTAAATTGAGACGGTAACGTGATCTCAGCGGGTACTACTGCGCTCTGCTTTGCTGATTTTTTTTTATTATCCCATGCAATCTTTGATGGGACGTGGGGCGGATCAATCGCTGGTTTGCTGTTTTTGACAATGCTAAGATTGTTACTCCCATTCTTTACATTTTCACTTTACCCGTGTCTGATGAATTCTCGTCTACCCACGGAGCGACGGCAGATACATGTGTGCTGTTGGAGCACCGCGATTCCACACTATCTTCCTGCGTTACGAGACAATCAAGGTGGTGGTGTTTTGCAATAAAACCGGCAATATCTATCATTCGCGCACGGGTAGCCTCAGGCCCCATCTTGCCATTCAGCTCATCCACGCGCAGCATAATGTTTCTCAGCCCGTACAGCGCTGCACAAGCTCCCATAAAATCGGCAACCATTAGCATCATTGTCACGCTAACCGAGGTCGCGTTGCGCATGCAGCTTGACACGAATAGTGCGTTGAATACCTCGATATTGAAGGCAATGAAGACAGGCTGTAAATCCGGTGCATGGCCTGTTGTGTGGTAAAGAAGTAGCTTTTCCATCATCTTGATAACTGGCAGTGCAAATGTCAGCAAGAATTGTGTACTGGCATATTCTCGAGCATGTAAGAAAGCGTAATAGAACAAAGGATAGACAACTGCTAGACTGGAAGCGGCGTAAATAAAGATAGCGTGAAGTTTTAAGCGTTTGCGCACCAATGCGCTAGATCGACATGCTGGGCCCATGTATACCCAGAGACCAGCAACGATAAGCGAAATCCATACGATATTGAGTGTCAGATACGAAAAAGGCACTGGGAACCCGATCGCTAGTGCCACTGCAAAGTAAAAACCCGTGTACATTGCCGAAATTCCAGCCGATAGTAGATAGAGCCATAAACGACGTTCTGGAATTGGTGCGATACAGGGATGATGCATTGGCATCAACACGGCCAAGGTGAAAGATCCCATGATCAACCAGGACCGAGCCCAGAACATGCCATTGCCACGTGGGCCATTTTCTGGTGGTGCGAGAGGAATGGCATCGGACAGCAAAGCGATGACGAGACACGGCACAGGAGTCACTACCGCTATAGTGAGGTTGAGCAGGACTGTTGCAACTCTTGATTTTTGTTGGTGGAGAAAGTGATGCAACATCTGCAGACGCCCCAGTGAGTAGGCACCTTTGTGCTCGACATGCACCGCATACCACGTACGCCAGCACGCGTCGTACGTTCCCCACACTAGGCGCCAAAACATCGAGATGACGACTTGGGGGCTTTTGAAGGGGAAGCCAGATAGCCACTGAAAAGTGTACCCAAAAAGAAGCACTGTAACGGCTGCGTTGCTCAAACAGCAAAAGGAATATGTGCACAGTCCAAAACACAACTTCACTTGAAGAGATGTAGGCGGAGGCGCTACAGTCCCAGGTTGGGTACACTTTTCGATCAAGATAAACACAGCTGCCCGAGTTACTGGATCGTACCAACCGTTTTGATCCGCATGAGATTCCTGACGGCGTGGATATCGCTCCTCCTGCTTGCCACACTGGAATTTTGCTAGAGTGGCGGCGCAAACCTGCCATGCCGAAGGTTCAACACTCTCGTCGTCCTGCGGCGGCGTGTGCGATTCGTATCAGCCGTGTCTGACCTACAATGTGTCGGACAGCACGTCTTGCAACAGTTGTGTGGCCGACTCGATCGGGGATTGTAACTATGTGTGCTACAATATCTACCGCGATGTACCCGTGGATGAGTCGCTCTTCGTCTTCTTCATCACTTACGGTACGTACCAGAGCGAGGAGGAGCTAGAAGCTAGAGCCCAAGACTCCTCGTACGATGCCAATATGGAAAGCATCCCAGACAACACAAGCACCTACGCTTGGGCAAGCAACAATATCATCGCTCGTATCGATGCACTGGACTTGCCATCCGCTACAAAACAAGTGTGGGTGTGATGTGTAGTACCGGTAGTGGGAACTTACTTCGTTGGGATGCTAACTACATTGTCTTGGTGAGTACTGCAGCGTGTTGGCTGGAGGCACAAGCTTCGACTTGGTGTTCAAGTCCAAGGTGGTGAATCTGCAGCTCGCAGAAGATCTACTAACTTCTCAGGCGCAGGTAACCCAGGTCTGGTTGCTCTCAATTAATCTGAAAGGACAGATTGGCACCGTCAGAGATCTCCTCCCATTCTCAACAACATACCTGAACCTCGCGAACACTCTGCTGCACGACTTTCCAGCAAATCTACTATCGCTGCCCTCGATCTCCTCGCTGTATGGAAATCGAAAATTCTTGGATTATTTTCTTATTGTACCGTACACCAGCCTTACCTTTGCTCTTTTCCTCCACACAGAGATCTTAACCTGAATTATATTACGGAAGTGAACTCCTCCATCAGTTCCTCGAAGCTCACCACCCTGTACGTTAAGGTGCATTTTTTATAATCTGTGTTTTCTTACACGTGACTTTTACATGTCATTTAATGAAATGACGTCCTTCGAGGGCGATTTTCCTAATCTTGCTGCTCTGTGAGTTCAAGTGCAACGCTGCTTTTAGGCTGGCATTACTAACTGATCGCTCGTTGTGGTGGTAAACACGAACTGTAGCACACTTACTGAAAACAACTTCACCGAGATCCCCGCTATCATTTTTACTATGACATCGTTGACGTCGCTGTATCTAACAGGAAACCCCTTCAAGACACCTATACTCACGCTGGATCAAGTCAACTTCCTGGAGAGGCTCACAGATTTCGACCTGATTGGAACTGATTTTCAGGAGGAGACCAAATGTGAAACTTCAGCGCAGCGCACCATCCAAGGTCTTGTCATTTGTGTCAGCGACTTCATGGTGAGCTCGAATTCAGCAGGATCTGGCTCGAACGACGGCGGATCAGGATCAACACCGAACTCTAGCACGATGATAACTGTGGTTGCTGCAGTTGGTGGAGCTGTCTTGCTCACCATTTGTGGAGCGATCTTGTTTTGCATAAAGACTCGCACCACTGGTAAACCGGAGACGATGGCTATGACAGACCCCACCATGCGTACTACTCGAGACAATTACGACAACTTGTCGATTTGGCGCGATCCTGAACTTCTCTCTCTCCAGGTGAGCGTTGAGGACATCCAGGATGTCAAATTGATTGGGAGTGGTGCGTTCGGTGTAGTTTGGCTAGTCCGCTATCGCAGCGCTCAACTTCTTGCTTCGAAGCGACTTCGTGAGGATATGGCGACGCGTGAAAGGGTGCAAGACTTTGTGGACGAAATCAAGATGGTTTCAAAGTTTAATCACCCGAGCATTGTCAAGTTCATCGGTGCAGCTTGGAGTATTGAATCGGATCTTCAGGCTATATTCGAGTACATGGAGAACGGCGACCTGCGCACATATCTGTCGGCTTCCTATCTGCCACATTACTGGACACCTACAAAGTTTCAGCTGGCTATTGATACGATTGAGGCGCTTGTCTACGTGCATTCATTCAACCCCCCTTTGATTCACCGCGATCTAAAATCTCGAAATGTGCTGATCTCGGCAGAAATGCATGCGAAATTGACTGACTTCGGCACGACACGCTACCGATCGATAGATGGAACAATGACGATTGGGGTAGGAACTGGTAGGTGGCTCGCACCCGAGATCATCTCGGGGAGCACCGAGTATGACCAGCGGGCAGATATTTTCTCCTTTGGGGTACTTCTGACCGAGATTGATACACATAACCTCCGATATTATGACGCCGTTTGTAACGGGGTACGTAGCACTAAGTGTACCCTGGTTACATGAAGTGTGACACTTCACACTTCAGGAGTATGACATGTCATACTCCGGGATATTTGGTACAAGGTACCAAGGTCATTCAAAACCAACCATTGGTTTTATGACATTGCATTTCTATAGGTAACTGATAGTTTGTATTAACCTCAAACTTAACCTACCTATAAATATACTGAGTTTACAATCTACCTTATTTAGGTCACTTCGCCCTCTTTAATTAAAGAGGGGACCTGTGAACTGCCGTTCACTGAGAGTTTGTATACTCTCGGAAGATAACTTCCTCTAGCGCAAGGTGCTGTGTGACCCCGTCACACTTGGTAGCACTTGTTGGTCAATCCACGCCATCGCGGGTAGACTACCTGAACCTCCGAAGTTCGTTGCCATGGATAGGAACGACTTCTCCCATATGAACGACTCTCAGTTCGAGTCGGTTCGGAAGATGGCAGGCATCTTCGGGATGGAGGCCCTGC